CAACGAACGAGAGAGAGAGAGAGAGAGGCTCGTTTTTCACGCGGATAAGACTCGGACGGCGTTGAATTTGGAGAATCGAAAAGACTCAGCCAAGGGAGAGAGATACCTTAGCGGGTTTTCCCGCTCCCCTCCTATCTGGTACAAGGGTTATCAACGCTTACGTAATCCCAGCGAGAAGTTTCTTAACCCTTCTTCTGCATCGAGGTCGAGAGATAAACTTATCGCGAGCATTCCTGAAAAATCGCGAAAATTTATTTTACCGGGCGCGCGAGAGTTTCGTAAAAATTTACGAAAGAGAGGAAAGGAAAAAGAGGAAAGGGAAAAGGATCGAGTCGGCGAACTGACGTCCCCGATCGTGAAATCGAATCGCTCGAGCCGGGAAAAGAAGGTCAAAATTCCTCGAAAACGGAACGAACGAGCGTACAGAAGGTGTTCGAAAGGTGTCTCGTCCGTAAAATCGATCTTGTCCTTGATTTGTTATGATAGGTTGCTTGATTTAAAATTTACACGATTTTATCTTATTCTCCCACTTCTCTTTCATCTTCTTTTTTTTCTTCTTCTTCTTCTTCCTCCTCCTTTCTCGAAATTTTAACGAATTTTACGGAGAGAGAAACGCCAACCAACGCCACCACTATAAAAATATCTCACTTTTCGAAAAAAAAAAAAGAAATTCCTCCACCTCGAAGAGCCTCAAAGAGTAATTTAATTTCCAAAAAAAAAAGAAAAAACCATCCCAAACCACCACCACTACCACCACCACTACCACCAACAAAACTCTCCAAAGCAAAGAGGAAGAAAGAGAAGAAAGAAACGAAGAAAAAAAAATTACCACGCGCGCAACGGAGACACTTTTGCAATCATCTGTATGTATACACACACGCACACACATATGTCGTAACGTGAAAAGAGCAAAAAAAGGAAAGAAAAAAAAAAAGAGAAAAAGAACCCCGAGATAAATAAAATTCTTAAGCGGAGATCTGACCGAGCGCTTTTACCGGTCCACGCAGAGACCAGCGTGTTGCAATTCTTCGGCGACGATTTCCTACGACTGTTGCTGGTGCGCTACGTGTTCTGCGACGTGGTGTTGAATCTGCACCGGTCGTTCAGGGGTCGACAGCAGAGGCCCCGTTGCCATCCGCCGTTGCCAGACGCGGAGGTCCTCGAGCATCCCACCCTCCATCACCTGGTGCTCGACCTGGCCGCCTGCCTCGACTGCCGCGACCACTTTCCGGACAGCAACGAGCTCGCCTGACCCAGGCATCTCCCCTGCCCGGCGCCCCACGAGTCCACGTCCCTGTTGCCGGCGTATACCCACGACTACGATTACGATTACTGTAACTATAATTGCAACAATAAAATCGTTACACTGAGACCTCATTAAACCGCGTCTAAACGAAGGAGAAACGAAAGGATATTTAAATATATATTACGATGATAAGGATGAGTGAAAAGAAGGTAAAAAAAAAAAAGAAAAAAGAAAAGAAAGGAAGGAGTATAGGGTATAAAGTAGGAACGCTAAATGGAAGAAATCACGTGTTATCGTCGCTCGATAATATCGCGATGTATTATTCGTTGTGGATATCGTCGACGCCGTCTCAGGGTAACCCGGCGTCGTGATTTTTCATCGTCGTAAAAAGTCGTCCACGTCGTTCGACGATTCGTTCGTCGATGATACGTCCGCGAGTTCACGCTGCGTCGGTCTTCCGATTCGCTCGTCGTCGTCGTTGTTGTCGTCGATTCGGGTGAAGGTGAAAGAAGAAAGACAATACGACGCCGGGTTGTAACCACGCGTTTATTTCTTTCCGTGGTGAGGGAACGCGTAAAAAACGTAAACACGGAGGGAAGAGGAGGAGCAGGAGAAGGAGAACGAACGAACGAACGAACGAACAAAGGGAATGAAAATTTCTCGTGAATTCGTGGTTCTCCTTTAAGACTCGTTCTTATGTTAATCGCGACATACCGCTGCCAGTTTTTTTGCTACGGATTAGTAAACGAAATACAAAAAAAAAAAACAGAGAAAAAATCTATATATATATATAATATACAAATATATATATATATATATATATATATAATAATGAATATGATATATTCTGTCACTGCATCGATGGTAAAAGAAAAAAAAAAAAAAGAAAAAAAAAAGAACAAAAGGATGAATTAATTATTATTACGTATGAAAGAGAGAGGCATGTTGTGATTATCGGTACATGTATAGACGAAAGAAAGAGTGAATTTGTACGCACTGGTGCTTTGTACGATTTTAAGAAGCTTTTAGCGTGTCGTCGAATGATTCGGTTCGGTTTCTTTTTTTTTTTTTCGGTGTATTACGGGTTTCCGTTCGATTCTCGATTCGGATCGCAGACCACGCATCCTTTCCACCCTTCTCTATCTCTTAAAAAAAAAAATAAAATAAATGAATAAATAAAAATAAAAATAACGATATGTAAAAAAAGGAAAAAAAAAGAAGAAAAACAGATCGAAAGGTTAATCGCGGCGAATAATCGATCTTATAGAGAAGTTTAAAGAGAATTTCGTTTTGTTTTTTCTTTTTGAATCAATGGTGTCTCGATGCCATCATACACTTAAAAAACCTGTATTCGACACCCTTCACACAGTGACACACATACATATACACGTACACACGCGCGCGCGTTATATTTTGTTGTACGAATGCGAGTCTCAGACTTTGCGATTCTATTTTCGTGATGTGTCCGCGAAGCGCAGATTTCCTTCCTCTCTCTCTCTTTCTCCCTCTCCCTCTCCCTCCTTCCCTCCCTCCCTCCCTTACCCTCTCATCTCGTAATCGTTATCCACGCAGTCGACATCTCTTTCTCATCGGTCTCTCCGCTAGTTTCTCTCCCTTTCTATCCCTCTGTTTGTTTCTCCCTATTGTTATATAATTCCCTCTCACACGTAATGTTTCCAAATGAACTGAGAGAACGAGTATACGTGTGATCGGCGAAAATTTAAAAAAGATATTCAAAAAAACATTCTCCTCTTCCTCGACACCGAAATAATATGATATATATCGATTGTAAATTCAGACACCAGGTATACGATTTTCCTACCACATTATATTAATATATAACACGTATTATTTTAATTTTATCTCTTTAATTTTTGCTACTTTCTTTTTTTTTTTTTTCTTTTATCCTCTTTCGACCATTCAATCTCCCCCGTTTCACGCTTTTTATCATCCTCCTCCTCGTTCGATTTACCTCCTCGTTCACAGCTCTGCACGATGGCCCGCCGACGTCACAGAGCGCCAACCGCGAGGCTCGTTTATTTATAAGCAAAAAGTAGAGCGGCCAGAACGCGAGAGAGAGAGTGGCTCTCTCATTGAGAGATGACGATTCCGCCGAACTACACGCGCGCGCCGGATCAGTTTAGCTTTAGGACCGGGGTGAGGAGGGGGAGTGAGAAAGAGTCGTAAACGCGTCTAGAACGCGTCAGATAGAAGAAGGGGAAAATAAATAGGTGAAATAAAGGGAAAAGAAAAAGATAAAAGAAAGAAGAGAAAGAGAAGAGAAGGAAATTAAAGGGAATTAAAGGAAAAGGAGTTCAACTCGCGTTTACTTGTGTGTATATATATATTAAATACTATGTAAAATCTAGTAAGAAAATAGAGGAGAGGGGAAGATATGAAAACGAAGGAAGGAAAATAAAAGAAGCAACGACTCGAGAACGGGAGGGGGGATAATGGCAATGATAAATTCTCAGACGAACATTCGTCGATTATTGTTGCGTTTATACGATACTATACTATATCAATATACACGTACACACATACACGTACACGAGAAACACACGTCCGTACATTCTCTATGTTTTATAAGAAAAAAAAAAAAAGAAGAAGAAAGAAAAAGGTAAAAAGGAAAAAAAAATGGAAAAAAAAAGAAACATTGAAAAGAAGCGAGGAAATATTCGCGATTCTAGAAGGAAGGGACATGAAGAAATAACCTGTGCCCTATCCCTATCGCGGATGCGACGATTAACAGAGAAGATTCTATATTTACCGGTTTATAATGTCCATATGAAGTGAAGTTGAACGAGTTAATTATCCGATCACATATTGCCTGATATTGTCAGAGAGACCATACGATGATCGATCTTGATGGTAGTCCTTCGTGGTTCCCGGGTGTTCGTTCCGTCACGTTTTGAAACGGAAAAGTTTATGCTATTGTTTCTTTATTATTATTATTATTATTATTATTATAATTATTATATCTCGTTGCTGATTTGGCAATGGACTGCCAATATTATACATGATATATATATATATATATATAATATGTATATATATATATTAGCGTACGATCGATGATATTTGGTTCTCTGTTTGATTATCGAAGTTTCCAGAGAATAAAAGAAGAAAAGAAAAAAAAAATAGATAAAGAAAATTAATTATCGAGTCATCCTCGATGAACGAACAGAGCACGTTTAAGCATATTTAAATAAGAGACTAATATAACGAGGAGTTATAAACAAAAAAAAAAAAAAAAAAAAATAAAGTGGTCGAGTGAAAAAAAAGCGTATTTGGTGATTCGTATCACGAGTATTTTTACACTTAAAAATTGGCGAATGTATATCTCAAGTGGAAGAAACGTAGGAAACGCATTCGAGATCCCCGTGTAATATTAATGTAAAAAAAAAAAAAGAAAAGAAAAAAAAGAAAAAAAGAAAAAAAAATAATGTTTTTTATAAATTAACAAGTAAGAATCTTTCCTATTCCTCTTCTATATAGGAGCGTGTTTCGTTAACCATAGGAGAACTGTATAAATTCTGGACGGGGTAGCGGACGGAGAACACGAAAACGCATGAGAAAAGTTCTTCGAAAATACGTATAATAATAATATGTACGCTGCGCGTTTGACCCTTTTTCCTCCGAGTCATAATCGTTTTTTTTGTATACCAATAATGTGCAACTGCTCACTCGTCTAAGTAGCGCTTGAAGTGGCCACTTTTGGCCTAAATACAAGTCTGCGGTTGTCGTGTTACAACGTCGTTACACCATACCGCCACCAGATCGCGTAATTGGTAGCATTTTAAAAAAATATTGAACAACGATTCGCGTCGATAACTTCTTTTCTCCGTGTGTTTTTTTAAATATTTCGACTTCGTTCGATATACGTATCTACCACGTGAATTTCTCGTAGTAAATTAATCGTAGTAATTTCAATTTTTTTTTTTAAATGGCCAAGAGAACAAGATCGAATAAGATTCACGCGAACTTTTTTCATTGTTTTCGCGTTAATCGTCGAGGCTGGTTCTCGAACGTGTTACAAAACACGTATTATTGTATTGGTGATATATAGTACGAGAAAGATAAATATTTTTCTCATTCTACGTTCTCGTGCTATGGTAAACCAAAAAAAAAAAAAAAAAAAAAAATAGGCAGAAGACTTCATATTCGAAAGAAACTCGAAACGATAATAACACAAAACCTACGACAACCTGTCCCTGGCCATCGAATTAGGACCATACGCAACAATTTTCTAACTATAACGTTACGGACACAAATACGAGAAATTATCTTCTATATCGGTTGCTCAAATTGTACGTTGTAGACGTAGGCGGTTAACGTACACGAATAGAAATTTAATTTATCACCACCCTACCGCCTCTCTAACGCATCGAACCCTTACCCCATCGTTAATTATCCCAAAGATAACTTCTTAGGGTGCTATAAATATACGTCGATCTTCCAATCACTTCGAAACATTTTCAAACATTTGCATTCGTCGAGCGGATTGAAAAGTATTTCAAACAAGTTGCGCAAACTTTAAATAAAAAAAAAGAAGGAACGAGTTCTTTTTCCTTTTCTTTGATCGATGTTTAAGATAAAAAAAGAAAAAAGCATTTCATTGCGTGTATTAGAAATTTTAAAGAAAAGAAAAGAATGTTGCAAATATTATATATATATATATATAACGATTAATTAAACTTTTTGCTATCTAAAGTTCGCCCACGAATCTTTCGATCTTATTCGAAAAATAACAAATATAATCGACGGTCCTAATTCAATGAACAGAGGTATATTATAACGAGGTATATTATATATCTCTAACTCAATCACACTGTTACCCTCCTAATCTTTACGCTCCCTATAAACCTCACGCGTTTCTGTTGTTTCATTGACAAATTGTGAAGAAACTGCGCGTCACTTCGTCCACTTATCTTTTCCACCAACTGTACACCGACGCTATACCAAACAGTATTAAATGGATTGGTTGTAATCGAAAATTGCCGTTTCCACACCCGGAAGCCAGGACTATCCCGTAGAAACAAGTCGAGATCAAGAAGAACCAAGAGAACCACGTTGATCCTTAGATTTTACTTTATTTACTTTATTCCAGCAATCAATGAAAAACAATGTGATGTGATCGACGAATCCGATAATTGGTCGTACTCGACTTCATTCCCGTCCTCTTTCCGCGATATTTTTATTTTTATTGTTTTTCACACAGGATAGGATAGGTAAAAATTACTCGAGTCAATCGTCTCGCATCGAGCAGCTTTAATTTTGAGAAAGCTCGGTTCATCGCGCCGTGTGGCGTATGGCGAATGGCGATCATCCTTTGCTCGAACGGAATCGGTGTTCCGTTCGATTAAACATTTTGTTCGTCTATTGCGCCTCGTTTCGTTCGTTAGATAGCGTATCGGCTGGTTCTGTTGGATTCTCGTGTCTCATCTCGGTCGGGTATTTATTTATTTGTTAATGGATGCGTTTGATTTAGTTTAGCGCGTTTCGATGCTTTTTTTCTTTTTATTATTATTTTTAAACGAGAATGCGAATGGAAACGAATGCAAATGTAATCGGGAGGAAGTGCTTTGTCGAATAATTTTAAGGATCTATTGTAAAATATTATGGATAAAAAAAAGTGCGTTTTAATAATTCTGAAAGGAGAAAAAAAAATGTAAGATATGCGAGTTTTGAGTAATTTTAATTAAAAAAAAAAAAAAGAAAAAAAACAAAGAAAAGAAAAAAAAAAGCAACAGAACCCTCCGACAG